CAAGATAATAGACAGATCTAATGACGTTGAAGGAGTGGGAGCCTCAAAGAAGATTGAGTGAATAGTCAAGCATGGATGGTCGTGTCTTTCACTGAAATAGGGACAAGGGCATGATTGTATAGGCAGGGTAGCAGGCAGATAATGAAATCAGTTTTGAATTTGTTGAGTCTCAAGTACTGGTGACACACTAAGGAAGATGTCAAACAGATTTGGAAATAGGGTTTAGAGCTGGAATCAGGTGAGGTCAAAGGAAAAACGTGAAGGTTGAGGAAAGGAGCTGAGAGTTGGATCCTTGGGAAGGGTTGAGAAGGAATAAAGCCAAGTTGGGCATGGGTAGGTAGCACTAATCATTGCTTCAGGGGGTATAATGGGGACCCCATGTATACTGGACACATGTAGGGCCCTACAGGCAGTGGTACAGAGAGGAGGAGATAGGATGACTATGTGACCTGCACTTAACTGTTCCAGGGGCCTGTGGCAAAAGAACTGAGTGGATTGCCTTCTGGACCCTCTGCTGGATCAGGCCCTCCTCCCCCACCGCCAGGGCCACCTCCCCCGCCAGTCCCCACCAGTTCCGGCTGCGATGACTCTGCATCCCGCTCAGCACTGTTTGCGCAGATTAATCAGGGGGAGAGCATCACACATGGTAAGTGAATACTTTGACACAAACAGTTCATACAGCAATTTGTCTGGGCCAGACTTCATCAGCTAGTCTGCAAACCCAAACCCTGGCTTATATTCACTTGAGGTGTCACGTTCGTTTGAGTTGCCCTTGCCCAAATGGACAGCCTAGGTGGCTTAAATGGAAATCGAAAATGGGTGACTACAGTAGGCAGAAGCCCTCTGTTCCATTGAAAGTGACTTAATATTAAGTAGCATATCAATATATATTATATTAATATGTGGCCAAGGTACAGTGCTGATAGTTCTTCCCAGAGCTTTTTCCATGGTACCACATGGTCTCTGGGAAGTCATTCTGTCAGGGAGTTAACTTCCTCAGAGGATACATACTGGTCACATGGAAAATTTGTATAAGAAGGACCTAATGTTATAGAGAAAGTAGATGCCCTTCTACACAGATGATGGAAGTCTAGGTTGTCTAGCCCTCTTCTAGGAATCTACCCATAAAAATATCTCAATTAAAGAAGTTTTATACAGAGCTACTTATAGTAGCTAAAAATGTAACAACCTAAATATCCAACAGTAAAGGACATGATTAGTTAACTATGGCATATCTTCCTGATACAATATTATGCAGTCATTACATTTTTTTCCTACAGTGAGCCATGTAATGTTTAAGAAAAAAATCTAGTATTTTAATTTTAACCACAAGGAGTGGTTAAAGAGGCCATTCAGTATTGGTTTTATATAGTCAACATAGATTGGGCCATGTTCAAGAGCAAAGTGTGTGTCAGCAGCCTGCTGTGGGAGATTATGGTATCTTTTCCTTTAAAAAATAAAAGAAAGATATTTTTAGAAACTATAGGCTAACATGAGAAAGTTTGTGTATGTTTTTTCTCAAAAATATTTTTAACCTGGGAGCATAGATTCAAATTGCCCTGAATATACACTCCTGAGAAAGTTTTTTCAAGTGTCAGTTGGTTGAACCAAATTTATTAACAATGTGTATAGTTAAAACTAAATAAAAACAAGTATGAATAGAAAAAATGCTGGAGAGTTTCAAATGTAAACACTTACTGGGGAAGGCAGAAGTAGGGTTAGCTGTGGGTGAAGTTTTGTTTTCCTTTTATCAAATTTTCTTTATTTCACATCTTTTTCTTCTTCTGTTGCTTTAAAAACTACAAACATGTTTGTGAGTATATATTTGGTATATGTCTTTCTAGGTCTTTTTCTGTGCATTTACATTTCCATATCCTCCACCCCCACTACACACACATTTTATGCTTTACTTTTAAAAACAGAACCATATAATTTAACCTTGTGGGAGAAGAGCAATTATAAAAGTACTTCTCCAAAACGGCTTGTAAAAGAATATCTCAAAGGCTCTGGTTTTTGGCTTTGAATTTTCTGCTAAGGATCAGTTTAACTTACGATAACAGAAGTTGGTTATTGCCTTAGCCCAAAGCCCTGGTATGAAGGACAGGAACAAGGTAGCTGTTGTTCTTACAGCCCTGAAACATGTATCTGATGACATGAAGACTCACAAGAACCCTGCCCTGAAGGCTCAGAGTGGTCCAGTACGCAGTGGCCCCAAGCCATTCTCTGCACCCAAACCCCAAACCAGCCCATCCCCCAAACCAGCCACAAAGAAGGAGCCAGCTCTACTTGAACTGGAGGGCAAGAAGTGGAGAGTGGTGAGTTAAAAAAAGACCCGGACTGGCATAACAAGGAGCAGGGACAGGGAGTTTAAATGTAATTCAGCCACATGAGTGCAGGGTTCTGTCTTAGATCACAAGAACAAAAGTTTGGGAAAGCCTGTTTTTTGGTTGATGTGTGCTTCATGATGAGAATTCTGGGGTATTTCTTTAACAGGAAAATCAGGAGAATGTTTCCAACCTGGTGATTGATGATACAGAGCTCAAACAGGTGGTTTACATATACAAGTGTGTCAACACGACATTGCAAATCAAGGGCAAAATTAACTCCATTACAGTAGGTGAGTCTTTGTCCTAGAGCTTGAGAGGGCTAGAACCATTTTACCTACCCTGCTTCTAAAGATTCTCAGATGTATTACTTTCAAATTATATTGTTGACCTGCTCTCTTTCTTCTCCTAGATAACTGTAAGAAACTTGGTCTGGTATTCGATGACGTGGTGGGCATTGTGGAGATAATCAATAGTAGGGATGTCAAAGTTCAGGTAACTTGATATCTTGGCTCTTTCTTTTGGTCCCTGAGGAATTAAAAGAGACACAGCAGACCCACAGATGTTGCTTTGGTGGGAATCTGATTCTACAGTCTGTAAGCTGAGCTGCTTTGGACATGGCAGAAGAGGGGTTGGCTCTTCAAGTGAGCTCTTTCAAGCACCTGTCCCAACCCGCCCATAGTATCCAGTGTCTGTTGCACACCTGTGAGCTTTTCATGTAGTTGCTGAATCATGTGAAACAGGGAAAGCTTTTCCAGCAACTTACTGTTCTCCTCCCCAACTGCTGGAACTCAGTTCTCTTGGTTTCTCTGCAGGTAATGGGTAAAGTGCCAACCATTTCCATCAACAAAACAGATGGCTGCCATGCTTACTTGAGCAAGAATTCCCTGGATTGTGAGATAGTCAGTGCCAAATCTTCCGAGATGAACGTCCTCATTCCTACAGAAAGTGGTGACTTTGTAAGTTTTCTTGATCTCTTTAGTAGTATGATAAAAACAGAAGGGACTGAAAACTTCTTGCATTGGAGAAAGCTATTTAATGAACATTCTGCACTAAGTAGGTAAAACCCAAATTGCACACCAAAAGCACATAAAGGTGAGGTGGTCTGATGTCGGAGGGTGGTTTCTGCCTTTAAGTTGAGCTTGGGGTAGCAAAAAAGAATGGGAATGAGTCATGGCACCCTGTCAAGCTGGTGCTATAAAGCCATATGTATTCTCATTTACACCTCATAGATTTAACAGTCTGTTTAAGATCACAGATCACTGAACAGTGAATAGTACACACAGCATGGCTCGATGGGTTCAGTTTGTCTCTTAGCACATCCTCCCATGCTCTCAGGATTAAGTGTAAGCGAGCATTGGGAGAAAAGCGTTGAGATTTAGTCCCAGCTCATTCTTTAGTTTAGGTTTAAACCCATTGTCTTCTTTATTTGCAGAATGAGTTCCCAGTCCCTGAACAGTTCAAGACCCTATGGAATGGGCAGAAGTTGGTCACCACAGTGACAGAAATTGCTGGATAAGTGAAGTGCCACTGGGTTCTTTGCCCTCTCCCTATACACCATGGGATAAATCTGTATCAAGACAGTTCTTTTCTAGATTTCCTCTACCTTTCTGCTCTTAAACTGCTTCTCTGCTCTGAGAAGAACAGCTACCTGCCTTCACTGAAATATACCTCAGGCTGAGATTTGGGGTGGGATAGCAGGTCAGTTGATCTTCTGCAGGAAGGTGCAGCTTTTCCATATCAGTTCAATCACACCACCAGTCCATTCTTAAGGAACTGCAGACCACGACTGGTACATTTTAGCTTTCAGCTTTGGGGGGGTTATTCTACCAACAGATAGTCCTTTGAGAAGAATAAAACAGTCCCAGGAGTTAACAGATCAGAACATTCACACTAAACTTTTTCTAACAATGAGCATGAAGGTAGCAGAAGCTGGTGTTGATTCCAGACAGTTCTAACCAAACTAATATTTCCCTGTTGACAAGTGAGGGCAAGGGTTGCACTGGACCAAAGGCTGAGGCTTGGCCATCTAGCATTCCAAGCAAAATTATTTCCTATAAGCATTCCTTTTATTCTGCATTCCATCCTGGATCTGCCTAAACCATGAAACAGGAGGTTCTCTGGTACCAGCTGCTAAAGCAGTATCCTTCATATCCAGGGCAGTTAAACGTGTCTTAGACCCTTTCTCTGGGATCCCTGCCCAGCACCTTCCTACAGAGATGACTTTAAAGGAAAAAAAAAAAAAAGGAAAACAACACACCATTCCAAGGAGTCTGGCATTCCTTCTTCCTTCCCTGCTAGGTGCCTGTCATCCATCTTCACTGCCTCCTTTTCCCTATCATGCTCAACAACTTAGGGCTTCTGTCCAGGCACCTGAACAGAGGACTAAAACCTCCACTGCAGGCTGGTTTTAGGTCTTGATTTATGTGAGAATCTTGCACAGCATTGCTAATGTAAATTTCAGTTTTTTCCCTAGACAAACAATTACCAAAATATGCAACTTTTTTTGGTGGGAAGAGAGATTGTCCTGTGATTTCTACCCATTCCCTGAGGCCTGTGGAAATAAACCTTTATGTACTTAAAATTATACAGAAAATAGAATAAAGTTAATACCAAACTTGCTTAGTTATTTAACTATGGTATTTATTGTATAGAAAAGAAAAATGACACCAAGAATAAGAAACTACTCTTTATTTTAGATAACCTCATAAAACTGTTTTCACATCCCCCCACTTCTTGTCCTTAATCTTCATTTTTTAGTTGAAGAATGAGGCTTAACAGAGAAAGGAAAAACCATAAAGGGTAAACTTAGCAGCACTAACAATGTCCTTGCATCAAAGCATAGCTAATCATTTCTCCAAACTTGCATTCTACAGAACAGTCTTCTATTAATAGAAAGTGTTAATACATTTTCACAGAGTGGGGGCTATGATTTCCATGCTCAAACAGCATAGGAGATGGTAGATTATAGTTAGTTTCTATACATAACAGGAATTCTCAGAGTCCTTAGTATTCTAATGGAGGTTGATCTCCAAAAGGAGAAAAGGAGTGTGCAATATTTTCTAAGCTTTTTTGAGCAAACAAGTCTTTTCTTACAGAACATATCAAATAGTTTGGAGTATGCTGATAAATTAGTTTTGGGGGATGGAAGTTAGAAAGCCCAGTCTCTTCATATTGTTCCTTCTGTTCTATGTTAAAGCTAGCAATTACCATCCAGACTCTAAAATCCAAATCTAGCATCCAGACCACAAGTCATGCTAAGAAAGGGCAGGTTGGTCAAAGATGGAATGGAAAGAACTAGCTGCCTTATTTTTCACTCACTCCTACATTTTCTTCACCCCCTATTTAGGTTATAAAGATGTACATTTCCTCTCTTAAGCAACCCTTCCCTCCTCTTATGACAGTGCAACAAATACATCACTACTAAAGGAGACAAAATGGTGCTGCAGAGGCAAGATGGTAGGTCAGTGGGATTTGTCTAATAATTATTGCTAAAACAGCATGGAGGGCAACATACCCAGAGAGGAAGGCAGCCTTAAGAAAAATTACACAGAAACATCCAAGCAATACTTTTCTAAGCACTAGTTAAATCATCAGCATTCTCTCTGCTTGAAATGTGGCTAGACTTTCCTGAAGAAGATATTTGCCCTTAGAATCTATCTTTTTGCTTTAGTCTCCTCTGGGCCTGGGTACAGTTCTGGCATTGACCTGTAGCAGACTGCCTTTCTTAGCACTAAACTTGACTGACCACAACAAAAGGTTGTAAAACAATCTCCATGGTTATTACCTAATTAAATTTGCATTTAACACCATATGGCAAAAGGAGGCAAGAAAGGATAAGAGCAAAGGATAAGATTGGGATCTTAGATCTTTCCAAGTAGGGCATGTCAGCTGATGATAGGAGAGAAGGATTAGTTGCAAACTGGATCTGAGCTCAGACTTGGGCATGAAGGAAACTCTCTCCCATGTGGTTTGGAAGAGTTAGGGGCTCCCTGTGCTGTGTTACGAACTTCAAGGGTTTCATTCAAGGAAGGGTATAATGTTGGCATTAAACCATTCTTTAGACAGCTGAAGATGGTCTCCTTCTGTAGCCAGAAACACTAGCTGTCCTGCCTTGTCCATTTCCTTTAACCCCAAGCGGTCCTGCAGAAAGAAAGGCCATAATTAAGAGGATTATCAAAGTTTTAGAGTAAAACGGTAAAGTAATAGAATGTTAACTTGAGATACATTCTCAAAATGCAATTTGTCCCGAGTATTAAAATTGAGGTGTACTGTCAAAAATGCCAAAAAGGAAACTTCCCTCTAGTTTTTTCTAAATATTAAAAATGGACATGCAATTGAGATTGTTCTATACAGAGTTTTACATTGTGCTTTCTGAAAAGCTTCCCAGAGCTGGAGGACCACCTATTAGTGGGCAAGCTATAGACAAAACTACCTGAGGACATCACAGGTAAGTGGTACTGAGCCATAGACAGGAGGACATTAGCTAGATGGCTTAAAACATATCCAACCCTTGGATGATAAACCTGAGACACTCGTATCCTGCAACTGACAATGTCATCACCCACAGCCTGGATGCCATAGGGCAACCTCTGGTTGGGAAGATAAGCAGTTACAACAGTGCCAGAGTGGTGCTTCTGCTGCCATCAGTTTGAGTTTCACAATAAGGAAGTTCTTGGTAATTTTTAAAACTTTTTAAATTAGACCCTAGCCTCTCTTTCTATTTACCCAAGCTGAGACACTAAATGTAAGAGAAGGGACAAATGGCCTCTAAAATTACTTGAAGGAATTCTAGTTACATGACTAGTTCAAATGCACCACTTGTGCAATTATTTTAGAGTCTATCTCTGACATAAAATCCTTAGGGTGTGGAAGGCCCCAGAACTGGAGGTGGTGAAATACTGCAACTTCCACTTGCGACAGGACCTCCTATTAATAAAATTCACAACTTTAGTCCCATGCAACCTCTTGTAAGAGTTCCCCTTGTCATTGCCTAATTTAAAAATGACTTCACATCTATCAATGTTTTAAGGTAACACCCCTCTCTTCTACGTTTTCGTCATACATGAGGGCTTCCTGGATTTGGAGCAGACTGCACCTCAGCAAAGGCAGCCAGTTCTAAACCTTTTTTTTTTTTTAATCAAAAGGAAGGAGTCAGAGATGAAGTCTTTCTTGTTATTGCTTGAAAGCCATGAGGTACAGGTCCTTCTACCTGCAGCATGTAGTGGTTTTCTATAAATTAGTGCCTGCTAAGCTAGAGCAACAATCAACAGCCTAACAAGCCTCGCCCATGTCAGATACGAGTCAGATGCTTCATGAGCATGCAGTGCTCTGGGTGTAGAGGACAGGGCTGTAGCACCAAAGAACCTACCAGCTTCAGGGAATGGGAGCTGAAAAGGACCGTACCAACCTCCCAAGACATCTCTTTCCCCAGTTACCTGTGTGTATAGGGTGGTCTGCTGTAAGGGAATGGTTTCCTTGGCTTGGCCACTTCTGTAAAATCCAAACCACTACAGGAAAGGAAGGAGAAATAAGGTCCAATCAGACACATAGCAAACACTGCCAAACTAATTTGAGACTGGCTAGTAGCTAAGACTACCAACAAACTGAACATGATAAAGTTACAGCAAGAAGGAAACATGGACAGGGCATGTCTTGAGTCATCTTTTTAAGGGTGGGTCCTGAGGAATGAATTAATCTTTCCAAAGAGCTTTCCACCTCCCCAGAATTTCTGTTTCCTACATATATGGAGTAATAAATGTAAAAATCCCTGTGCTGAACTCTAGACATTCGAGGATAAATATATAGTCTTGTTTTATATACAAACAGGAATGTATAGTCTTGTTTCCAAGATGCTGCCAGTCTGCGAAGGCACAGAAACAATTCAGTGTTAAGCACAAGGGTCAGAAAACTTTTTTGTAAAGGCAAGATACAAAATATTTAGGCTTTAAGGGCAATATGGTTGTAACCACTTACTGCTGCCACTGTAACAAAAGCAGCCACAGACAATATATAAAAAATGAGTAGAACTGTGTTCCAATGAAACCTTATTTATGGACAATGAAATCTGAGTTTCATATAATTTTTACATGGCAAAAGTCTTGATTTTTTTCCAACCATTTAAAAATGTAAAAACCATTCTTAGCTTGTGGCCCATATAAAAACAGGTAGCAAGCTGGATTTGGTCTGTGGGCCACAGTCTGACAACCCCTGGTGGTTTGACATAATGTGATGACTGTTCTAATAGAGTCCTGATGATGAGTCTACAAAAGTGAGCAAATTCTGCTTGGAGGTGGCATGGCATCCTGAAGAAAGTGACATTTGAGTTTTGCCCTTGACAAATAGAAGCGTGTCAGGTAGGGAAGCCAGGGAAAGTCACTTTAGAGACAGAAAAGCATGAATGAACAAAGGCATACAAGAGAAAAGACACATGCTAAGTTTGAGGCATTACAGGAAGTACAATATGGCTTAACCAAAGTGTATGCAGTGGGTAATAAGGGAGATTAGGCTGGAAATACAGACTAAGCCAGATCATGGCAGACCTTGAATGCCAAACTTAAGAATTTATAGACTGGGCTAGTGGTTCTGAGCATTTTTTGGGTCTTAAATCTCTGAAAACTGATTAAAACTACAGACCCTTCCCTAGAGAGTGCAATTATATAATTCTGCATACAATTCTGGGATGGGATAGGGGATTACAATGCTTGGTGTCCCATTTATGGACCTCAGGTGAAGAACCCTGTTGTATAAGAAGCTGGTAGAAAGGACTGAAGGATTTTTCCCCAGCAGGCAGATGTATTTTAATGCCATTTACTCCAATAGTCTCCTTGCATGTGGCCTAAGTAGTATCTTACCTCAGAATCTACAGGGTCCACAATGGAATCATTGAGGAATTTCACCATTACAAACTTCTTCAGGGCCATCAGGTTTTTCTTATAGGACTCATTGACACCCTGGAAGAAAGGCCAGTAGCACCTCAGGGTCATTACCATTAGGTCCCAGCAGGAGGTCAAAGCCTGTCAGTGCTCTGGTCTCCCTGGCCCTGGGCCACAATGTTTCTTCCCCATGGGTTTGGGTTGTTTTCCAGCTTCCTGCCCAGAATATACCTTGTACAGCCATTTCTTACCATCCTATTTGACTGACATACCATGATGGCATACAGTTCCAACCATGAGTGTCACCACAGACCATAGGCATCCAGCACACAGGCGAAAAGCTTCTAGTTAGAGAAAGCCAAGGCAAAATAAACTGCAAATTCTGACTGGCTCTGCTATAGTATTCTGTGTTGTTTTTTGTTTGTTTTGTTTTCTCTTCTAACTTTTTGTTTAAAAACAAAAACAACCCCTCCCCCACAAACCCCCCCAACTTTTCCAATTAGCCTAATATAAATTGAGCCATCTAGTTTACCACAACCTCCAAAATCATGCTCGTGTCTGGGACATACTGAGTGCGCTCTACAGTCTCTCTTCTAGGTAAATCTTCCTTTTGAGAAAACCTTCCTCATTAAGATAGCAGCTATGAATTTCCACTTAGCCCAGCATCCTACTGAGCTCATCCTGCTGCTTCAACGCTAGGAAAGGTCAAGAACTTGAGGGAATAAAGCAAAGTGAACTTCTACCTCCCTAAAAGGAACCAAATCTCACAGGTACTGCCTCCTAAAACACAGAACTGTTTCCCAGATTCTGCCCAGGATAGTTTGGGTCAAATGTCACTGCTGATTTGGTTATGATGACCTGAATAGAAAAAAAGAATGCACAACTCTGAGAGCCTGGTTTGGGCCTGGTTTGGGTGCTTACCCGCTCCTGATTGATATCTGCCAAGAAGATGCTGTGGTTGCGGTACACATCCTCCTTTATGGGGTCATGCCAGTATTCTGCTTGCACCAGGCTGCAGGAAGGAAAAGGAAGGTGATCAAGCTGCTTGTCAACTGGCATGCCCACCTGGGGCATGCCCAGTGCAAAGGCCACCAAGAGACTTCAAAAGGACAAAAGACCAAAGCCCTCAAGTCCCACACCTTGCCCTCTAGTAGGGAAGACAAGACTTCCACCTACAAAATGGTTCATCAACAAGACACCTCATTGAGACAAGCACAGGCTATTCAGCTTAGTATAGAAAGTATAAAAGATTTCAGAAAAGGGCTTACCAATATTTGGTTCCCTTATGGCATTGAGCTTTATCACACTTATCATGCCTTCCAGTCATGGTGGCACATGCTGTCCCCTCCCCTAACCTCATCCTGTAAGATTCAACTCAAACATCACCACCTCTGCCTCTTCCTCTCCATCCAGTCATCCTGCTATCAGCCTGGGATGGAGGTCTAACTTATCAGTCACAAAACACTTAATACACTGTTGAGTGATGGCACCAGTTTTCAGTATTCTAATATGTCGTGCATGCCATTTTCAAGTGCAAAGGACAAATATTTGGTTGTTTTAGTACTATTATTTCAGACAGATCAGCAGTTCTGTTCACACTTATTTTCTCTCCAGTCTCTTCCCAATTGCCCTTGCCTTCCAGCCTCCATCCCTCCAAAAGGGGCACCTTTACCACAAGGCCTCCTGGGGAAAGAAGGAAATTAGAACATGAGTGGGGCTCTCTATCCTGGGTTGGCAGAGAGAGAAATCAAAATTTCTACAAGAGGAGCTCCCAGCCAGAGTGGAAGAGCTACCCAGAGGTGGTGGTCCTGAAAGCTACACTCAGTGGAGCGAGATGGCGCTAAAGCCCAACGGAACCAGCTACATCAGAGAACATGGCAGCTCTCATGCTCAGGAACAGATAAGACAGGTTACAGGAAGCAGCAGTCTGTCAACAGTGAAAGTGACATTCTCTAATGTGTTTATAAATGTATTTGAAATCTTTTAAATGTTTAGTCTCCCAGACTTTTAAAAATTTGATGAACTCTGGGCTGGGCACAGTGGCTCACGCCTGTAATCCTAGCACTCTGGGAGGCCAACGCAGGCGGATTTTTTTTTTTTCTTTCTATTCATAGTAGAGATGGGGTCTCTTGCTCGGGCTGGTTTCGAACTCCAAGGCGGGCGGATTGCTTAAGGTCAGGAATTTGAAACCAGCCTGAGCAAGAGCGAGACCCTGTCTCTACTATAAATAGAAAGAAATTAATTGGCCAACTAATATATAGAGAAAAAATTAGCTGGGCATGGTGGCGCATGCCTGTAGTCCCAGCTACTCAGGAGGCTGAGGTAGCAGGATTGCTTCAGCCCAGGAGTTTGAGGTTGCTGTGAGCTAGGCTGACGTCACGGCACTCACTCTAGCCTGGGCAACAAAGCAAGACTGTGTCTAAAAAAAAAAAAAAAAAAAAATTGATGAACTCTGAACATTTATAAAATACTGCTATTAGTACTGGTCTGTCATTTCATTTTAGTATTGCTATCACTTAAATGTAAGAGTGCTGGTTCCCTGTCTCTCCCCTAAAGACTAAGCTCTTTGGCATACAGCACATGCTTGGTAGCAAGGGTTTGCTGAGTGAAATGAACTGATACAGGGAAGTCAGACAAGCTATGAAAGAAACTGGCACTGAGGGAGTGGTAGGATTTAGATGTGAGGAGAAGGGAGGGCAGCACAGTTAGAACAGAGGAAGGAGAAGCTTCAAGAGGTGGGCAGCAGTTTCAGATGCTGAGAAGTCACTGAGCTGGGCAGTCAAAGCTTATCAAAAAAATGTGAGGGGATGAATACAAAGGTCTTTGAATTACAGTGGGGAGGCCTGATGGCTGAGGATGAAAGAATGAATGAAAATAGCAGTCACAGGTCACCTTTCAGTGTGCAAAGGAAACAGCGCTAAGAAGGGGCAACAGGAAGAAATGAGGGACGCTTTGATTTGTGAGAAACCAGGGGCGTGTGTGACGGCCGAAGAGGGGGGACCCAATGGTGAGCAGAAGCTGGAGGTTCTGCAGAAGGTGGGATATTGTTTGGGACGGTGCAGGGGGGAGGTTCTTCTGGAGGCAGACAGAGAAGAAATATGGGATTATATTATCATCTTTTTTTTTTACCACTTAAGGGGGCAAATTCAGAGAGAGGTTCAATAACTCCCAAGCCACCCAGTCAGTAAAAGTAAGGTAAGAGCCTGGACCCGTCACGGTACACACTCTTGCCAGTGCACCACACTGACGGGGTGGGAAAGGACAGCTCCCAGGTAGAACTTCCCAACCACAGACCACAGATGGTGAGACAAGCCTCACCGTCTTTACCTCCTTCTCTAGCCACTATGGCTTAGCGACAGTAACACTCAAATAGCACCTCCCACATACCAGGCCTATCCTAAGCACTTTACATATATTAACCTATTTAACCCTTGTAAGAATTCCATGAGGTAGGAATATTAACAAATGAGGCAAGGACACAACCACACCCAGAGCGGTTAAGTAGCTTGCCAGGTCATACTGCTTGTAAGTACAGAGCCAGGCAGGAACGCAGGCAGTCTAGCTCCAGAAGCCATGCTCTCAACCATGACACTGTACTGCCACTGCTGTACATGAGGGCAGACAGCACCCGATTTATGTCAGACAGACCAAGGTTGCAATCAGAGGGATTTCACCTCTCTGAGTCTGTGCTGTAAAAATTAAACAATACATGTGAAGCTCTAGTGCTATATCCACCCATGGTAAAAATTCAACAGAATACAGTAATATTAGGACTGTCATTATTCTATTTTGTCCCTCCTCTCCTTCATTGTGAGTCCAACTACTGGTATAGTTTGCACAGGGAAATGCCTCTCACAGGCCCTGCTTAAGAAAGGGAAGAGCCTAAAGGAAAGCAAATGACAGCAGAGGAAGATGTGCTGCAGTGATGTCAAAACTCTCTAAGGGGCCGGATGCAGTGGCTCACGCCTGTAATCCTAGCACTCTAAGGCCAAGGCGGGCGGATTGTTTTGAGCTCAGAAGTTCGAGACCTGCCTGAGCAAGAGCAAGACCCCATCTCTACTAAAAAAATAGAAATTGCCCGGGCGCGGTGGCTCACGCCTGTAATCCTAGCACTCTGGGAGGCCGAGGCGGGCGGATTGCTCAAGGTCAGGAGTTCAAAACCAGCCTGAGCCAGACCCCGTCTCTACCATAAAAATAGAAAGAAATTAATTGGCCAACTAATATATATAATATAAAAATCAGCCGGGCATGGTGGTTCGTGCCTGTAGTCCCAGCTACTCGGGAGGCTGAGGCAGGAGGATTGCTTGAGCCCAGGAGTTTGAGGTTGCTGTGAGCTAGGCTGACGCCACGGCACTCACGCTAGCCTGGGCAAGAAAGCGAGACTCTGTCTCAAAAAAAATAAATAAATAAAAAATAAAAATTAATTGGCCAACTAAAAATATATACATTAAAAAAAATTAGCTGGGCATGGTGGCGCATGCCTGTAGTCCCAGCTACTCGGGAGGCTGAGGCAGGAGGACTGCTTGAGCCCAGGAGTGTGAGGTTGCTGTGAGCTAGGCTGATGCCATGGCACTCACTCTAGCCAGGGCACCAGACTGAGACTCTGTCTCAAAAGAAAAAAAAACCTCTAAGGAATTCCAATCGAAATCCCAAGATAATGTTTGATGGAATTTGACAAAATAATTCTAAAATTCAGATAAAACAATAAAAGTCTAAGAACAGCCAAGACTTGGAGAGTTAGGTAAAAGTTGTTATGGGAAATAAAACGGTGTGGTAATGACGTACAGACAGACAAACAAATCAATGGAACAGAATAGTCCAGAAACAGACTCAGGTACAGAACTGCCCCAGGTAGATAAATGTATGACAGTAAAAAACAAAACTTTTTAAAAACTAGAAGAAAATATGGGGTAGGAGCATAGCTTTGAGCAACAATCATGTAGATTAATAAATTCGACCAAATCCAAGTAAAAAGCTGCTGTACCAGATGATGGTTGCACAATACTGTCAGTGGAATTAATGCCACTGAGTATACACTTAAAAATTGTTAAAATGAAACCAGGAGCAGTAATGCATGCCTGTTGTCCTATCAACTCGGAAGGCTAGGGTGGGAGGATTGCTTGAGTCTACATATTTGAGTCTAGCCTGGACAACACAGTGTGACCCCATCTCTTTAAAAAAAATGGTTAAGGCCAGGCGCGGTGGCTCACGCCTGTAGTCCTAGCTACTCGGGAGGCTGAGGTAGCAGGATTGCTTGAGCCCAGGAGTTTGGAGGTTGCTGTGAAGCTAGGCTGATGCCACGGACACACTCTAGCCTGGGCAACAAAGCAAGACCTCTGTCTCAAAAAAAAAAAACCACATTTGATCCAGCAATCCCATTGCTGGGCATCTACCCAAACGATCCAATGACACTCTACAAAAAAGACACCTGCACTCGAATGTTTATAGCAGCACAATTCATAATTGCAAGGCTGTGAAACAGCCCAAGTGCCCATCAATCCAGAATGGATTAATAAAATGTGGTATAGTGTATACCATGGAGTACTATTCAGCTCTAAGAAACAATGGGATATAGACATCTTATTATTTCCTGGTTAGAGCCTGGAACCCATACTACTAAGGAAGTATCCCAAGAATGGAAAAACAAGCACCAGATATATTCTCCAGCAAACTGGTATTAACTGAGTAGCACCTAAGTGGACACATAGGTACTACAGTAATAGGGTATTGGGCAGGTGGGGGGGGGTATATATATACATAATGAGTGAGATGTGCACCATCTGGGGGATGGTCATGATGGAGACTCAGACTTTTGGGGAGGGGAGAAATGGGCATTTATTGAAACCTTAAATCTGTACCCCCATAATATGCCGAAAAAAAAAAAAAAAGAATGATTTTCTCCAAACTTAGGTCCCTGTCATAAAATTTAAGACTGATGAAATTCATACATATTCATGAAATGTAACTAGTATGTTTAATTAATATTACTATAGTTAATAATCACTGTTGCCT